TTACAAATCCTACGGGAAGCGACTCAAGGGCCAAAGCACCCCGAAATACCCGGGGACGGTCATTGACAGTCAACATATCCGAGTCATCAAAAATTCGGATTCATAAGACCTCAAAGAGGTATCCCCTCGAAACGAAGGCCAAGGCCAACTCACTCGGGGACTAACTTTTCAAACGAGTTCGGAAAGTTATCGGGAAACGAGTCCAAGTGACAAACCCGAAGGCTACGGCCATACTAAAGACTACGGTCACATGAAAGCTACAGCCATACTAAAGACTACGGTCACACAAAGGCTACGACCAAAATAATGCGACTCGAAGACGTCCGATTTCTGCTGTAAAATTAAAGGCCTTCAAACATTAAAAACCAGTTAAATCAGGCTACCCTCGACAAAAGCAAAATATAAGGGGCCTCGATAGATTCGGCCCCGAAAAATCTAAGGGCTTCGATAAATCAGCCGTCGAATAATCCAAAAGGCTTCGATAACACCAACCTTCGGAAAACCCTTAGGAGGCATTCGATTATGTTCATGCAAACAAAATGACTAATAAGGTTCCGATACGTCGAGACTTCGAAAAACCCAACGGGTACAAAAACACATGCTAAGGAATAACTAAATTTCTACCAAGTCTTTTAGCCGAAATGAGGGAAAAATTATACAGCCATTTTTAGAGGCCAAAACGGCCCAACTAAAAGAGCCTAAGGGTCATCCTTAAAGAGCCTAAGGGCCGACCTAAAAGAGCCTAAGGGCCATCATCAAAGAGCCTAAGGGCCATCCTTAAAGAGCCTAAGGTCCAACCTGATAGAGCCTAAGGGCCAGCCTAAAAGGCCTTAAGGGCCAATATTTAAAGAGCTTTAAGGCCGAAGCAAACCATGCTCGGAAACCTTACCCAGCTCGAACTCAAAAGTCCCGAGCCAAAACTTAGCTCGAAGATCGAACATTAGGCAGTGACCTATTATCCATCGATGATCAAAACACAAAGATTTGAGGGTCTACTCTACCCTGAACTTGGCTCAACAATCAGAGGTCAGAGCATCAAAAATTTAACGAACATTGAAGGAAAATCGAAGGCAAACAACCAAGGAAACTCCTTTTTATATATACAGAAAGATATTACACGGGGGTCCTACAAAGCAAAATATACAAAAAGATAGAAAAAATTCTACCTACTCCAGAGGGGTGTTCCCCTCCAGACCTGTCGTTTCCCCGGGATCAACCTCTTCCCCGGGGGTAACCTTTTCGACAACCCCCTCCTCTTCATCATCTCCAGCATCATCGTCGTCATCGGAGGAAAGGACAAATTTGGCATTAGCCTCATCCGCCTTAGCTTGCTTTATCTCCTCGGAAAGATCAAAGCCCTTAGCATGAATCTCTTCGAGGGTCTCCCTTCGAGATCGGTGTCGGACATAGTCATTACTTCTTTTTTCCCGATCAGAAGACTCCCTCAACTCCCTCTGAGCATCGGCAGAATCTTTCAAATAGATGGTCACCGTCCTGTCAGCCTTGGCCTGTATTACGCTGGCTTCGGCTCTGACTTCCACCACTTCGGCCTTGGCCTTCGTGAGACCGGCCTCAAGCTCAGTTGCCAGCTTGATCCAAGATGCTCCCTTGAGCGTTTCGAAGTTGGACCTCGAGGGCCGATGCCTTCGCCAACGCATCATTTTTAGCCACAACAAGGGCGTCCATCTTCGCTTTCCATTTATTGCACTCGGCTCGAATTTGATCGACCTCCCCCCAGAGCTGCCCGATAGTATCTAGCTTCTGTTGTAGCTGAGACATTGAAGTATTAGCCTCCGAAGACGGGAGAGGTAGCCCGTATTTTTTCAGAACAGAGGTTACCTGCTTTTCTAGCTCATTCTCGTATTCACGAGCTTTGGTCAGCTCCGATCGGAGGTGTTTCGGTTCTTCTTCCTTTTCGTCAAGGAGAATCCTAAGTGTTTTCTCCTCACTCGAAGCCCTACGCAATTCGGCTTCACAATGGCGCAATTTTGTCTTCAATTTGTGAAAGGCCTACACAAAAGAAAGGAATAAATAATTAGACAGGAAAAGAAAAGTGTGGCAGTGGAGAAATATCAGGGCCACTAAAGCTTACGATTAAACAAAGACGCTGAGCCTCCTCGAAGATTGAACTCGCATCCGCTGGGTCGGTCTCATCTACCCCGGCAAAATAACGCTGGAAGGGGTTGTTTTCACTCGGGATTCTGCCGAGCTCGGAAATCTTCACATTCTGAGCATCCCTGATGGTATCCTCGGAGAATACCGGAAACGACAAAGGTTGACCTGCTGCATGGCCTCGGGGATATCACCCGAGGCGTTCTATTCAGGCAAAGGAGCTTCGAAGCTCGCTCCTTTTGGGGTATTTCCAGAAGTCTGAGAAGCCGTTGCCACATCAGATGGTGCAGGGCCTTCACTCCCCTTTTCTTTTAAAGTTCCTCCCTCGAGGATAGGGGCCCCGATCTCAATAGGCTTGATAGCCTCGGAGGACTCCCCGGTTCGAGTCACCAGCATCGAACCTTCCGTCTCGCCACCACGTCATCCAAGAATTGGTGGGCCGAGTCAATGTCCACGTTGATAACGGCGCTTCTCCTACGCCTCCGAGCAGGCTCTATTTGGCTTCGAGCATCCTCTCTTGTCGAGGACCTTTTCCTCTTGTTGTCCTCCTTAGGCTTGGGAGCCGAAGATCCTGCTTTCTCCTCAGATGGGGGCGGCCTCATTTCGAAAAACTCACCAATACCTGCGATAAAAGAATCAGGTGGCATGAATAAAAACATTCTTAATGAGGAAAGAGACGTTATGGCACGTATCGTGATGTTTCGCTTCCCACTTGCCCTTCGACAAGTCCCGCCATTTGCGTTTGTTATATGGTGAAGTAGCAGCTAGTTTGAAAACCAGTCCTCGAGGTCGAGGATCGCATTTGGCATCCGTGGAACCGCTGTAGAGAGAGGAAAGAAGTAACTATGAAAAGTTTAGAAAAATTTACGAAAGAGGATTGAGAGAATTCCACTCACGTTCGAAGTTCCATTTCTCGGGGAACGACAGGAATTTCTCGGGAATAATATCGACGGTCCTCACCGGATGAACCGACTCATCCAACCTCGATCCTTGCCTTCGTCGTTACTGGCAAAGAAAGTCTTGGTTGATCGGCGTTGGAGTTTGATTAAACCTCGGAAATGTTGAGGTCGATATAATCGGATGAGGTGGCTAAGGGTGAACTCGAGCCCGGCCTTTTCACTGAAGAACCTTATCATTATTACGATCCACCAAAGACGGACGAATCTGGCCCAGGGTTACTTGATATCTTCGACAGAATTCAAGCACAAGCGGATCAAGGGGACCCAATGTAAAAGGGTACGTATATACACTCAGGAATCCCTTCACGTAAGTTGTGATGTCTTCCCCTCGAGAAGGTATTTGCAGAACGACCTCCTCTCCCCACTTGCACTCCCTCCTCACGGTATCGAGATGACTTTCCTCAATTGACCTTATGTACCTCGATGCATGCTCTCGACGGCCCAACGTCGGGAGGGTTTTCGACTATAAAGTCCTTCTTTAAGGAAAATCTGCTCGGTACGATCTCATGAAAAGCTGGCGATTTACCACCGGCCTAACGGGAAGTAGAAGTAGAGTTCTCTTCTTTCTGAGGAACAGACTTGGAAGTTTTTGCCATCAGTGCCTTAGGAAAAGAAGGAAGAAAATAAGGGAACCAACAAGGTTTTGAGCTGATGCAACGGAGGAACTGGGGAAAAGTATAGAAGAGAATAGATATTGCAGGGTGGAAAGATCCTTAATGAGAAGAGAAATCGAATAAATATAGTAGAAGGCGGCGACGGTTCACTAGTAATGATGGCCGCCCGGCTCTGACGTGCATTTATTATTTTTGGGGAAATGAATTGACAAGATGCTTCGATCATTTCAACGCTTACGTCATAAGACTGGTGTCATCATAAATGACTTCGGGAATCCAAATCGTTTCATATTATTTCATTCTAAGAAACGCGGGGACTATCTATATACGGTCAAAATCGATGAGCATGATTTTGAAGTCTTAAATCGGGCTTTAGTTTCGAGTCTTGGAGACCCGAGGTGGAGATCAAATCCGGCTAAGGGATACCCACCTCGAGGAAGCTGATTGAAGGCCTGGCACGACCTGCATCGAAGGCATCACAATCTCGAAGTCAATCAAGAAAGAGCGGGAATTTCTTAAGGACATGTGGACCAGGGCATTAATTAAAGGATAGGGTTTGTACGAAATGGTACAGGTCCGTACTAGGCCGTTATACACTTGTACCAATAGAATTTTTTACCTTTACGAGGAATGTACTATATTGGGGTTTTCTCCTATATAAAGGGGACCCCAATCATTTTGTAATGCATCTGAGATCTTTCACTACAATATAACATTCTATTCTTCTCTTGTTTAACGTGCTCTACATTTATTCTTCAACTTTATTGCCTTTACTTTATTGTTCATACTTTATTGGTCTCAGCTGACCTCGAGGTCCCTAAATAGCCAAGCTCGAGGCCCCTACTGTTCCAACAACATTGATTTGGTTCATTATTTCTTCTTGCTTAAGCTCAATATTACTTGTATAATCACTAGTATTAGAATATATCACATATCTTTAAAACCATAAATCATTTTTAATTGTTACTTACATTTTTCGAGGTAAACAAAAGTCCCATCAAATCCAGGATACTTCGACAAACATTGAAAAATAGATAAAAAATTATAGAAACTGTACTAAATAAAAAATTGATAAATAATGTACTAAATAAAAAAAAAATTGATAAAAAATAGTCGAAATTACAGCAATGTTTCTCCAAATTTGAGTACAAGTTATATATTTCTTCCTTTTCATATTTTTCATTAATTCTAACCGTCAAAATTTATTAAATATTTGAGGTTGACCAAAAGTACTAATTTTACAAAATTAAAGGACCAAAATTGCTCAAAAATATATTTAAGGAATTATTTTGTACCTTACCCCAACATAAGGGCAACTTATGTTATTTTCGTTAACACAGTTAAACATCCATGGCAGGGTGAACAAAGTTAGAGGAATTACTGCTACTTAAGAAGAAATCAGAGACGCTCTCTAGAAACTGAGCAAGAAATGGCGGGTTTATTGGCATGGGCAGCAGATGTAGTAGGCGGCGGGCAAAGCAACGACGAAGATGACAACAACCCCAATTCGATTCCTTTAATCTTTACACCAGAACAACAAACCTACCTTCAGGATTTGAATCGAAAGGCCACTTCTCTTAGCCGTACGATCCAAGATCTACGGCTCAGACTCCCTCCTCCTGACATCTCACAGCGTCTTCCTCATCTCCACGCTCACTCCCTTGCTTCTAATAATGCTCTCGCTCTTCAACTTAATGCTCACTCTGCTACTAAAGAACAGGTCAAATTTTCTACTTTACCCCTCTTTTTCATTTTCAGCTTTTTTATGACTTAATTTATTTTGTTTGCAACTATAGACATTGTAAAGACGCGGAACAAGATTTTAAGTCAGTGTGTGTGGAGTTTTACAACACCCATTACTCTTTTGTGATAATAAGTGCTGACTTTGTATAACAATATAATGTTGAGCCAGTAGCAATAAGTGCACCTGAATCTGTTACTCAAGGAACCAACTAAAGACATTGTAAAGATTCAATATTTTGTGAAAAAAATGATTTGTACTGTTGTCTGTAGAGGCGATCAAGATTTTTAGATCGATGTGTGCAGAGTTCTACAACACTCGTCACTCTTTTGTCACAGCGAGTGCTGACTTATATAAATTTATACCTATATTGTGCCGATAGGAGTGGGTGCATCTATTGCTGTAGGAGCCAACTAAAGACATAGTAAAGATTCAACATTTTGTGTAAAATGCCTCTAGAGGCGATCAAGATTTTTAATCATTTGTCTTAAACAACACTTATCACCCCTTTGTGATAATGGGTGCTGACTTTATAAATATATACTCCCTCTATTCCACTTTATGTGAAAGGATTTTTCCTTTGACCGCTGTTGTCAATCACATATATATTTTAAAATATTTTGAATTGTTAACTATTGTGGCTTATAGTACTTTTTACGTAGTTTCCAAATATGTAAATTTTATTTTAAAAAGCTTGAAGATTCTGTGTCCAAATTCACACCGAACATTAGTCAGTTTGATCCTCGTACTCCAAACTACGACACATAAAGTGGAAAGAGAGAGTACTCATATTGAGCTGATAGAAGTGTCTGCACATGAAACTATTGCTGAAGGAGTACATTCTCCGGTGATTTTTTTGAAATCATATGTTGGTGTACGGCCCTTATCGTCCAAGTAACATGATTTAAAACCAATACTTTCCATATCTGTTTCAGCAAGCAATTTATGGTGTAGGACAAGAACAAGCCATACTCAACTAGTAGGACCAGGAAATTGGAGGTCTAGCTCAAGTATCCCAAAATTGACCTTTGAATGGATTCAGAGAATAGAATCAGGGGAAAAATTTAGAACTTGTGAAGAAAGGTTGAGTGAAACTTGAGGAGAAAAAGTTATCTGCAAAGATTCACTTTTTTCAGGTCTCCCTTTTCTTTTTTTTGCTTAATGGAGGAGACTTGTAATAGCTGCTAAAAACTCCCTATGCATACAGAAATTATTGTAATCCGGTGACAGAAAATGCCAACATAATCTGAACCGCTAAGTTAATAACTGCCTGTTTCCCCTGATTTCTTGGTGAATTCGGCTAACTTAGGTCTGATATTGTTATTATTGATTATGTTGGGTACACGAGGTCAGGAAAACAGTTAAATCGTTAAACTCGAAAAATGTTCAATGGCCCCTGGCACACTTTATTTATTCTAGATATAAATAGGTGGCATCCCCTAAAGCAAGCAGTCAAAGTTTTATACTAGCTATGGCTGATACCACTTGCTTCACGCACACAACTCGCGTTGTCAAAAATTTCCCATCCATCATCTGGAAGATCCTTGTTGTGTGTCACTTATGTTACATCTCCATATGCCTGGTATAGCCACAAACAGGAGCTTTCAGATTTTCGACAGAAGATGGGATCAGAACTTAATAAATTTATAACTTTCTACTCCATTGCCTGTGGGAGCTTGCTGATAGCGATAATCTATCTATCAGATTGCCTATTTGTCTATTTGTCTGGTGAAGAGAGAATGGAAAAGCTCTCAATAGGGTAAGCACAAAATACCTCGTCAAGTCCAAAGCTCCAGTTCAAGCAAAATAAGTCCAAAAAAGAGATGTCTGCCTTCGTCTCACTCAAGCTAAAGCTCAGTCTGCTTTAAGCAATTCATCACTTTGCATTATCTGGATCTAAAGACCAGTCAAGATATGATATATAAGTCATATATTTATAGCAACAAATATTTTGCATAAACAAAAATTATACTAATGTCAATATTCATTATTTTCTTGTGATCAAAGATATGATATACTAGGAGGCTACTTCATTGAGAGAGCAAGTCTTATGGGATGTTTGCCATTCCTAATTGCTTTTCACACTGACATTATAGAAGTCAGAAGAATCCAAACAGCCCCAGAGCAGAAGTATTGGAATTAGATTTATCTTTCCAATTGGCTAGAAGTAGAGCATAGGACCTTGCTTAATGTATTACACAAAGTTTCCAAATGATATGAATACAATGAAGGTTTTGCCTAGGTGTCAGTTTTCTCGTTACTTTCCTCTGTATTCTTTGAATAGGTGAGGATGTTATTAATAGTACGAAACTTTTACTAGCTCTCCTATTGCTTAACTATTATATTTAATTTGTATTTGCTTTTGTTATTAACTTTAACAATCTGTATAATTATGATTCTTGGAATGCCGTATTAGATTAAGAGATGGTGCTATTTATTGAAGACATAATTTAAGTAAATTAAAAGTGTGCTCTTTCTAACAGCTTAAGCTTTTAGATGAGATGATCACACACTTCCATATGGTATCAAAGCGGGCTAAGGTCCTGGGTTCAAGTCTCACCACCACCAAATATCAAAAAGAATGTCCAAGTGCTTGGATTCAATTATGTATTCGACACGCCCCCTTAGGTGCGGGCTTGATTCTTTTTCAGTAGCCAAGCACGTGAAAATCTTTTTAATAATGGGTGGTGGTCTGACACGAGGGCAAGACCTCTGCTTGCTCTGATACCATGTTGGAGGTGCGTTACCATTTCAAGTAAAAGCTTAAGCTGTTAAAGACAACTCACTTTTATCTATTTATTATATTATGTCTCAACGCTATTGAGTTCTTTGGCTAGATATTAAGGACTTCAAAGATGATACTTTTGAATGCCCTGGAATATGCATTTAGAGCTTGGAAATTTACGTATAATAGTTTGTGCTAACTTGATGGCAGGCACAATTAAGAGAAATTACTCTGCAAGAAGAAAATTCCGAGTATGAGAAGGCTATCTCAAGTTATGAGAATAAGATTCAGGAGAAGTCAAAGGAAGCAGACCTTCTACACAGCAAGTTGAAGGTTGGTCATAACCACCTCCTTTAAAGAGTCTTTTATGAGTCTCTCTCTCTCTCTCTCTCTCTCTCTCTCTCTCTCTCTCTCTCTCTCTCTCTCTCTCTCTCAGAGTTAAGTAAGAATTCAACTTTTTTTTCTGCATGTCCCATGTAGCCATAAACTGATATAAGCTCACCAGCATGCACAACAGATGAGTCAGTCCTCTGTGTAGTTATGCATGGAGTAGAAGATATCATGTACAAATTGTTTTACAAATTGTATTAATGGATAAGTTACATGATCGCCTGTATCAAATGTCTGAAGTTCTCACAAGTTTTTTCTGGCTATATTAACCTTCATCCAGTCCACTGATTCCTTTATACACAATCATCTCTGTTACTGGGATCTTGATTGATATAGAACGAGATTTATGGATCATATCCAATTAGCAGGAACTGGCCTTAATTGAGGAAAACTTGAAGTCAGAGTTAGAACAGGCACAGGCTGCAGCAGCCAGCCAGTCTAAATCAAATGATTTTCTGATTAAAAATAATGGTGAAGATCAAGAAGATGAGGAATCCGCAAATTCTGCATTGCTGGAGAAATTAGAGGAGAGAAAGAAAGAACTGGTGTGTAGCTTAGTTTATCTCTGTTGCATCATAATATCCAATGTAAACTGGTTCTCCTCCTTTTCCATAGCTTGTGCTGAACTATTTTATATTAGACATCAATGGAAGAAGCAGTTCATGACATGGAGAAAAAATGGGCAAAAATTCAAGATTATGCGCTCAAGCAACCTTCCCCAGGTACCCAACTACGAACATATACTAGCTTACATTATTGTGTATAATGAAAGTGGCACCCTTTTTATATTTTAGATTTTCCATTATAAGATTATAAGTTACGAGAAAGGGTCTTTTTTTTATTTTCCTGAAACGGAAAAGGCTATTAAACTTGTCGAATTAGCTTGATGTATTCGTTCATCGAGATTCATCAACACCTATTGTGTATGGTCAAACCATTATAGATAGATTGGTGTCTTTAAGATTTCTTTCACTTCATGCTTATAAAGAAACTGGTTTATTTCATATCTCCATGCACGTTATTTTAAATAAACATTGGTAAACTAGTTAGAAATTTTAGGGGAATAAAGCTACATAATGACATTTTATAACATGATGAGCCTAAAGAATGACATATTATAACATGATATGCCCAAAATCACGATCTCTCATGCTATTTCTTTCAGCTCAGCGAGAGAAAATATTGGATAAGCAGCTTCATAGTCTAATGGAGCAACTTGCTTCAAAGCAGGTGAATGACCTGCTCGTTTGTTATTCTCTTTATATTTGGCTTCTGTTATGCAACTATCGATTTGTGGCTCCTAATTGTTTGTGTTTACCTACTTTAGGCCCAGGCGGAGGGCCTAGCTAACGAAGTCCATCTAAAGGAGATGGAATTAGAAAGATTGAATGGCCTTTGGAGTAAGCTTGAAGCTAGCAATGCCGATATTAATGCTGCCCGGAATAGGTATACAAGAAGCAGCATCGACAGGGGACGTGTTTCTTCAGATTATATTGTTGATCCTCGTCAAAAGCCTGGCAGAATGGAGAATTTGCAGAAGCTTATGTTGCTTAGGTCAGCTTTCGTTGTGTACATTTTAGCACTCCATATTTTGGTATTCATTAAGATATCATTCTAGAGTTGAGCCCAGTAGTATTTGCTTCGTGAATTTTTGTTAAACTTTTAAATGTATAAAATGTAAAAAGTCCCTGCATACAATGTAGTTTGCTTGAGAAGGAACATGTATAACCTGTAATTTCTGCCTAGAAATATTTGAATATTCACAATAGTATTGTCTACTCGGTTATAATGTAACTAGCTTCTGTTCTTTGTTCTAATGCTTCTTATTTAGAGACCAGGAATGTTCCGCGATAACTTTGCTTGATGTAATTGTTTTAGCTTAAAATTTGTCAAATTCCTATAAGTTTTTCAAAAAATATTACGTTTAGTATAAAATTTGACTTAATGTTAAGTTTTTCAAAAGAAAATTTATAGCTGTCAAGAATGGCCGATGAATTCCATGAGCTTTATGTTATTTTTTTCAGAGAGAAGCATTGTCGACTGAATCCATCTACTTCCATTTTCAAAAATGTGAAGCGAAAAGGGAATTATCCTCCCCCCCCCCCCCCATCCCCCCCATGAATCATAGGTCCATTTTCAACTGCTTACAGTTGATCACAGATTTCTTTTGATGCAGTTAACGCCCATAATAATTAGTAGGAGCTACATATTTTCAAAGATCGACTCGGAGGTAGCTATACTTATCTTATGATATAAGTGGAAACCACGAGAGATATAATAGAACTGGTCAGCCTTTGCATCACGATGTCGGTTTAGCAAGGAATCCCCCTTCGAGTTAATGATACAACACGCGATAACTCTTTGAATCCAGAGGAAAAATACTCAAAGGTGAATTTTGGATTTGAAGTCTAAAGATTCCTATAACTACCTCAAGATAATATACAATAATAACTAGGTCCACAGTCAAATATCTATTTGGGCAAAAGTTACGGGGTTCACGTGAATTCATAACTTATAAGCTAAATCCGCCCTTAAAATACTTATACCTGATGTTTACACTAAATTAAGCAATTTAACCTTATTTAATTTAGTTACATGACTTTAATTTTTTCCTGTAGAGGGTGGGGGTGTTTAGTTGGTTAGCAGCTATTGTTTGAACGCTTTAATGTAAGGCTGTATGGTGGGCCGGTCTGGGACCGGGACCGGACCGGGCCCGCGGTCTTAACGGGCTAAACGGTTCCGGCGGGCCGGTCCTGGTGGGCCGGTCCCTGATGGTGTAGAAAGCCCGTGGCGGGCTGGTCTCTTGCGTGAGGCCCACGAGACCGGGACCGGCAGGCGGTCCTGGCCGGTTCAACCGGGCCTAACGGTCCTAACGGGCTCCAACGGCTCTTTTCTAAAAAAAAACTTTTTTTTTTTTAAAAAGACCAACGGTCAGATTTTAAAATCTAGCCGTTGGCCTTTAATTTTCAACCGTTTGGAACTTTAAAAAATAGCCATTTGGCCCCCAAACTTTATTTTAACCCCAAACTTTATATAATTACACTTTTTTCCAATTCTCAACTATAAATACCCCCTCATTCTTTCATTTTTACTCACCAATTCATCAATCTATCTCAATCTCTCTCAATCTATATCTAATTTCTCTTCTATAATTGCTTATTTTATTATTGCAATTTCGTGAAAAATTGTGAAGTTGGTGAATTGAAGTATTCAAGTCTTCAACGATTTTCAATTTTCAAGAAGTTGTTCGGCAATTCGGTAAACTCGTTCCAACTCTTAAGTTTTAAGAATATATTTTTGTGTGTTTAGTTTGCATAATTATAATTAATATGGCATTTTCTTTGAAAAAAATGTTTGGTGGTAAGGGAAAAGCTAAAATTGGTGAAAGTAGTCTCCAACCTACTACCCTTCCCCCGGCTCCCCGACCCAGACCTATTACCCGTCCTGCTGCTCCTATTATTCTTGATAGTGATAACCCTTGTTTTCAATTTTCCGATAGTGAATTTTGCCATAATGTTGCACAAGATGAACAATTAAATGAAGAAGTTATGAATGCTCTTTATCCTAATCAAACTATCTTAGAAAATGATGAGGAAAATAAGGATGTAGATGAAACCCAACCGGATTTAGATGATTCACCTACTAGTCCTGTTAATAACCCAACTGATGCCCCGCCCGACCCACCTGTAGAAACCCCTACTTTTAATAGACAACCTTCTAAACGCCTAGAAACATCAATAGTTTGGAATTTTTTTACTCAAGTAAGAGAACAAAATAAGGCTAGGTGTAAAACTTGTGGGAAATTGCTGGCGCATAAATATACTGGAGACCGTAGCGGTACGGGTAGTTTGGCTAGGCACATACAAACACACCCTAGAGATAAAGTTAAATATTTACAAATGAAAGCGCAGCAAGAGGGGACAAGTGTAGATACTGCGGTTAACCCTAGTACAGGTTCAAATCTAGTTCAACCAGGAATTAACACTGTGACCGGTGGTATTTTATATTACGATCCTAATAAAGATCGTGAAGAATTAGCAAAGATGGTTACTGTTATGTGCTTACCATATACTTTTCCTTCTAACCCTAATTTTGTGCATTATATTAGAAAAGTTTTTAATCCTACTTATAAAGGTTGGCCTCGCGCAACAGTTAAGAGCGATATTTATAAATATAAACATGAATATGAACAATATTTGCGGTATTTATTTACTCATATAACTAATCGGATTTCTATTACTACTGATATTGGTAGAAGTAATAATGACTGTGATTATCTAACTGTTACAAGTCATTGGATAGACGAGGAGTGGATAATGCAAAAACGCATTATCACGTCACACAGGTAAGTTTATTGCTAACACTGTTGCAGATATTTGTAGATATTTTTGCATTAGAGATAAAATAATGGCAATTTCTATGGATAATGCTTCTAGTAACACTAGTGCTATAGCATACTTACAACAACACTAAATCCTGCATTTAGTAATTGTTTCCATGTGAGATGTGTTTGTCACATTTACCATTTAATCGTCGGTGATGGTATGAGAATTTTAAATTTAGAAATTGAAAAGGTTAGAATGGCTCTTAATTGGCTTTTTTATTCAAACCGTAGAAGTAGACTTAGAGAGTATTTTAAAAAATGTGATGAATTTGGCCTTAGAGAAAGAAAGGTTCCTAAACCTTGTCCAACTAGATGGAATTATATGTACGAAAGTTTAGTAGTTGCATATGAATATAGAAACCCAATTAATGCAACGTTTAATGCTCGTGTTGGTGGTGAGGATGATGATGAAATCCTTACAAATCAAGATTGGACGAATATAAAAATTCTTATAGATTTTTTAGAACATTTTCAAATTGCTACAAATGCATTTTCTGGACAATATTATCCTACTATTTCAAATTGTTTAGTTTATATTGCAGCACTATGTGATTTGTTTGTTGAATTTTCGGAGGGTGGGGAAATTTATAAACTTGCTATAAATGCAATGAAAGAAAAGTTTAAAAAATATTTTTCCCTATCCCCCCTATTTATGGTGTTGCTGCAATGTTAAATCCTACAATGAAATTAGGAGGTCCTCACTTTTGGTACTCAAATATTTATAAGGCTTTAGATCTTTCAGTTGAGGAATTTTCTACACTTGCAGAGGCAAAAGCCTCAATTAAAATAAATGCTCAAACAATTTATAATGCTTATCAACTTGCGTTAGATAATGCTAGGCCAAATGTTCCAACCCCTACTTCGTCTAGTTCACAATCATCTAAAAGAGCTGCGGGCCTAAAAGCACTTAAATCTTGGACGGAGTTTAGGGGTTCTCAAGGTGATAATTTTGATGAGACTTCACATCTAAATGAGCTTCAAGTTTATTTGTCGCAGGGACTTGAAAAGGAGAATCCAGACGGCACCTTTGATCTTTTGGAATGGTGGAAGGCAAGGGAAAAACATTTTCCGGTTCTTGCAAGGATGGCTCGGGATATTTTATCTATTCAAGCTTCAACAGTTGCATCAGAGAGCGCTTTCAGTCAAGCAAGACTTCAAATAGGTGATCATAGAGCATCTATGAGGGAGAGCTTGGAAAATCAGTACTATTCAGAGATTGGATCCGCTCGGAAAGAAGAAACTTTGGACTTGTAGAATCACAACCGAGATAGACGAAGCTTATGAAGAAATGATAGCGCGAACTTGCCGGAGGATGCTGCTTCGCCCGGAAGCGGTGATGAACAAGCTTCTTTCCGCCACCACCAACGGAACCTCCTCCGAACCTTGAAGGATTTATGAGATTTGTTAGAGATACAATGTAGGTTATGGTTGTAACTTGTACTTTGGCATATCTTCTTTTAGTTTTTTTCCTTTTAATGGTGGTATTAGACCTTGTTGTGCTCATTCCATTGGGGGAAGAAGACTAAGAAAGATATTGTCATTTTTGGTAATAAAAATTACAAGACATGCCCTTGAATATCTCTTTGCAATATTTTTTTGTCTTTAACTTGCAATTATTTATAAGCTATAATATATATACATAACATACAATATATACTACAAGAAAATATATAAGGGAATATATATACATAACATACAATATATACTACAAGAAAATATATAAGGCTCATATATACATAACATACAATATATACTACAAGAAAATATATAAGGGAATATATATACATAACATACAATATATACTACAAGAAAAAATTATAGGGAATATATATACATAACATACTATATATAGTATACTATACTAGTATACTATACTAGTATACTATATATATTATATTTACATGAAAAGTAGTACTATATATACTACAAAACAAGATTTTTCAAAATGAGGGCCCCACCCCCAATGACCACCAACGGTCATATTAATTGAAACAAATAGCCGTTTTTTTTTTCCAATTTACAAAACTAACCTTCTCTAACACTATGAAGTACCCCCTCCCTCTTCTTCATTTCAATACTCAATACTCATTTCTCAATCTAAATTTCTCTCAATCTCTCAATCTCCAATTTTCAAGACTTCAAGTCTCAATCTCAATTTTCAAGTTAAATCATGCCTCGTTCGGAAAGAGTGCGCTTATTTGTTTCGCAATACTATGAAGTGCTTGAAGAAAATGAAGAAGGCCAAATATTAAAGTGCAAGAACTGTGGAAGAGTCTTAAATTTTCGTTCAGGGTGTACCACAGGCATTTTAAGGAGGCATATAAAGTATTGTGTTGAGGGTATTTATCCGCAAATTCGTCTTTAAAATTTTTCAACAATTTGTGTTATTTTAAAATTATTAGACGTATTTATGCTTCATGTTGTACTTTGTTA